ACAGGGAAGAGTTAATGGCAAATGTAGACTGTGATGACTAATTATAGTGGTATGAACCATGATGTAAACATGGTGAAGGCAAATGAGATTGTGACAGGCAATGCAGCCCCTTTCCCCTTGTGTGACCTGAAGCAAATTATCTTCCTTCCAGTCTCCTCCACCCCATGAATACTGCTTCATGCAGGTGCAGGAAGGGCTGCCCTCATGGGTCTGCTAATCAGTATTTCTGATCTGCAACTCTGTGTCTATTTTTATTCGGAATTAAAAAGTAAAAAAAAAAAGAAACCAAACCAAAACCCAGAGAAAACACCCAGAAGAATAGAATGTGTTCTATTGGTTTATAGTTCAGTACAGAAATACTAGTACAAAATCACTGAAACCATTCTCCATCTTGATGCAAATTAGTAATTGCATTTATTGTGTCCAGAAGCAAAAGATGCTGCATTTAATTTGTCACAACCTCCAGCTTCTAGTGTCTTCCTGTTATAATCTGTGAATTAAAAGCAGCATGGAAGCCATGCCAGGTTTTAGAGCAATATCTCTGAACATGGTTTTACATTTTCTTTCTGTGCAAAACCTCCTACTTTGGCTGACAGTCAATGGCTTCAGCTGACACTTCTCAATGCAAAAGGTGCAAGTTAATGAGACTCTGAAGAAAAGGAAATCCACTTCACCATAAGCCTCATTCACAGAGTCAGGACAGGATTTCTGTTTATTCCAACCCTGTAAATCCCTGTGTCATATAAAAATGTATGTGTGGGAGGGGAAGCCTCTGATCCTCTCCTCTCCTTTTATACACATTGTCTCACAAATCACTGTCATGGCAGGCTCTCACTTTGCACCATCTTTGTAACATTTTATAGCTTTTCAACAGAACAAGTTGGCACCAGATAACTCTGGGGACCCTTTGGTGCTAAAGAAAATAGGGTAGACTAGCGCGAAACACTGTCATTCCGAATTTGTACACCACCATGGTGCAAAACGGGGTGTGGAGAAGAAACACGGTGGAAAGTGTTGATACTTGAGGATCTGAATTTTCTGCAGACTTTTCTCTTGTGTACAAGAGACCTTGTGTGACACCACTGTCTCCAGAAGTCTGCTTTTCCTTTACAATTTGGTATGCCACACATATAACTATGGAATTCACCTTGGAGTACTGATCATGTTTGTTCAAAGAGCTTCATCATACTGAATCATATGTAATGATATAATTGTAGAGAAGGAGGAAAATAAAAAACCTAACCCAACAAAAAAAGAAAAACATGTGATCTGGTCCTCTGCTTCCTGCCACAAGGGTAGAGGGGTGAGGAGGGTGAAGACTGGGAGTCCAGAACAGAAGACTCTGTTCTCTGTTAAGAAAGCAAAACAATTATGGGCACTACCGGACTCCATTCATGGTCCACCCTACTTCTTTGGAGGGGAGGTCACTATGGCCTCAGCAATCAGTTCAACCAAACTGAACAGGGACTAAGAATCAGCTCCTTGCCTGGCTGCGCTCCACCACCCTCTATATTGAACTGGATGGCTTTTTAAGTTAACATGCTGGGTTGGCACTTGCTGTGACAGCACAGTCACTGCTTGGCCAGCTGTGCCAGGCATTTACAGTAAAGGAGTGAGAGAGAGCAGCAGCAGTGTAGACATGATCATTAGAAGACTCTTCTTTCTGCTGGAAAAAGTCTCAATAGAGAGAATCCAGAAGGATAGAGTAACAAGTAAACAGTAAGTAACTCTGCCTGTCTTAATTTTCCATCCAACACTCAAAACAAATGAAAGTCTGCACATTTGTGCTAAATAGTGATATCTGTCAAAGCTATCAGCTGAAACCCATCTTCTTGAAAAATGTATATTTCTAGCATATTATTTCCAACATGTTTGACTGCCCAGCCCTTGAAACCTATTAAATCTAAGATCAATATATATATCTGTTTAAAGGAATGAAACTACTAGGTAAAGCAATGGCTTTTACAATCAGTGTTAGACATATCAAATAAGTTCATAGGAGGAAGAATGATCTCAACAACTATTGTTCCATAAATCTAACCTCTACTTTCTGTAAAATAACTGAATATAAAGATAAAAGAACACCAAAGAAACTGAACATCCGAAATCTGTAAAGGAAATACATGTGACAAAGAACATAAATTCACAAGTAAATATTTCCATAAAAATCTGAGTGCATTCAAGGTTGTAATGGATATTGTGTCTCAAAAGATTCTGAAATATAGAAAATGGGTCTAGACAGAACACTAACACGTAAAAGCAAAAGCTTTAAAAGATTGGTTGTGAGTTAACAGGTTGTCTTCTGTGTTGAGCAGCCCAGCATAGCGTAGCAGACAGCAGTACAAGAACTATACAACAGCTGCATTAGTGATGTGAAAAAGAAGAAACATTATGAGGAAATTCCTGACACTAACTTACAGTGGATTGCAAACCTCAAAAAGAACAAAGGAATTGTGAAAAACACTGCATCTAAAGAGATAAAATGCATGGAATGAATGAAGCCAACCAAAAGCCCTGGAAAAAACAACCTAGCATAGCTGATGAAACATCACTCAAAGGGAGAGGGATGCAAAATATGAATGGACAGAGGCATGGGAACATAGCTGTAAGAAACGTAATAAAAAAATTGCATCAGATCCATTATATCACAGAGAGGGGAGCTAGTCTGTACAGTGCTTCATCACAAGCACTGCATTTAATTCTCAGTCTAATAAGAAGTGAAAGAAATTTGAAGAGGCAAGTGAGTAGAGGATGAATGAAAGACAAAAGTGATTAAGGTCTGGGAAGAGGAAACATACAGTTTGACTATAAATGTAGTGTGATTAAAAACAAAATATGCAAGGAAATGTTTAATAAGATTGCTTTCTATTAAGTTGGGGTATGGGTAAAGCCTCAGTATTTAAGGCTTCTACAATGAGGGCAAAGAAAACTATCGCAAGTGTAGAGTGGGTAACACACAACAAATATACCCTGTATAGTCTGATGGGGAATATCTATCTCCACAGAATTGCTTGATAAACAAGATCAAGACAGCAGCATCACTCTCTCTATGTGGGTTTTGCCTTCTAGTCATCTTGAGAGGTAGGGAAGCCACAAGATACTTACTTTCCCCTGGGACATCTTGTTGATTATCCTCTGGCTGCTGGGAAATTCCCATTTTCGACAAGATGAGTGTGGCACCATCTCGGACCTTTGAAAATACAAACACAGAGATGCTCTTCAGAAGAAGCATGCACTACTGAACCTCTTTCTTATCATAAACTGCGGTTTCTCTAACCTTTTGCAGTGAATCTAGACCTATGATGAAAGCTACCCTTAAAAAGCCTACTTGGGCAACTGACTGCAATTCATAGAATCATAGAATCAGTTGGAAAGGACCTCTGAGATCATCAAGTCCAACCCTTGATCCACCACCACCACAGTTACTAGACTATGGCACTAAGTGCCACATCCAGTCTCTTCTTAAATCCCTCCAGGGATGGAGAATCCACCACCTCCCTGGGCAAATTCAGAACAGACTCCCTACCCCTCCTTTAATGAGAGATCCCATCAACATGTCCTATGAGATTACTGAAATATTAGGAGCATGTCCAAGGCTTAAGTGGCTCCTCAATCTGGTGTGGGTGCCCTTTGTACAAAAATGGGGTTTATGATGAAGAATAGACCTGTCGGTTTTCTGAGGGAAAACCAACCAAATTCTCTCTTTTCTAATCAGGGTATCTGTTGTTAGAAGGCAATAAATAGCATACAAAGAAAAGATAAGTGGATTGCAAGCGCGTGGTAGAGTGCACAGTATGAAACCTAAAACAGACGGTACAAAACCGTCAGCATCTGCTCTCCTGACTGGGCTGTTGAACAAACCAGACCAACTCAAAATCTATTCAGCAGCACAGCAATGACAGAGACAATTCTCAGGGGTAGGAAGTGGTAGAGGAGAGAAAAGTTGAATATGAGACCTAGCAAAAGGAGCTTTTGAATGTTCAAAGGGGGGTTTAGATTTGTATACTGCAATGATGAGGAAACCAAAGTGGTGGCATTTAGGTGGTGTGTTTTCATGTAAGATATTTAGGCAATATGTCTAGACCCAGCCTTTCACACTCTGAAGGTTTTACTGCCTAGACCCAAGCCCTGTGTTTGTCTTTTGATCCTTTATCACAGAATCATAGAATGGTTTGGGTTGGAAGGGACCTTAAAGGTCATCTAGTTCCAACTCCCCTGCTGCAGGCAGGGACACCATCCAGTAGATCTAATTGCTCAAAGCCCCATCCATCCTAGCTTTGAACAATTCCAGGGATGGGGCATCCACAACTTATCTGGGTAACCTGTATGTAGCACTGAAGTTTCTCTTAAAATAAATAAAGATTTTATTTGTTACTAGAGAACAGTTAACAGGCACAAACAACTGTTTTGAAACACCTTACGTTATAATGCATTAATGTGTTGATACGTTTCCATCTGCCGTCTCTTTGGGATGTTAAATCCAAGTCTGAGAGGATCTGTGCAGTAGAACCTGGACGCCACTCTAAGGGGTAATTAAAGTGAGAAAAAACAGTTTTTAACAATGCAAAAATAAGTAATCAAAGACTGTTTTACAGACCCCTGACACACTGTGGAACACTGAGAGAAGTAATTTAGCATATGCCCAAATGTGTGGGTTTTATAGCTTAATCCTCTAGTCTTTATTACAGAAGTTTGCTTGAACTATTCCTAACCGTGTATATGACTTCTGATTATTTTCCACAAAAAACTAAATTCCTTTGCATAGAATACTATAAATATATAAGATCTGCTATCAGTCCAGGAACAGTGTAGGACTTCATGGAATAGAAAAGACATTTTTAGGGATTTTGCTAGGATTTTCTGAAGAGCAAGAATTCCATCTTCTACTTTCAGATTAACGCAATAATGAAGATATTGAAAAAACCCTATTAATTGGAGCTTTTATTATGAGATAATTAGGCCTTTTAAAGTAACACCATTTCTTTTTTTTCTCAAGAACAGCTATTTTGAAAGTCTTCAAGGAGGATGATTTTCAGAAGCTAGGTTGTTCATCATCTACTGAAAGTGCAGTTCCTGTAAGTTATAATTCTTTTGAATAACCATCATAAAGGCAACTAAAAATCAGTACCAGTTTCTGAAATTGCATCATTACTTCTCCATCAGTTAATTATCCATGCTGTCATTATCACATTAATTAGTACCTGAGATACTGACTCTGTCAGACATGAATACATTTGTGCTAACAGTCATTAACAGGCTCTTTGCACACTAATGACAGTATACCAAAACTTTAAGAGTCAGGAAAAATAACTCTGTAAGAAAGCATTCATTTTTAAGGCATATTAAGATTGCTGCAAAATGCTGTGTTTTTGCACAATTGTACAATTTTTTTTTTTAAAGAAAATACAAACCAAACCAAATCCAAGCAATAAATGCTCTTACAGGCATTTTGTGAGAAACTATAGAATCACGTCTCACTGTTCAATATAGTATCACAAGGAGCTACCTACCAAGAACTACACTCTCAGCTTTTGGCCACTGAGAACATGGCAGATTTCGATAGACTTGGTCTATTATCTTTTCCTTTACTTGTGATATAGTATCACAGTTCAACACTTTCACAGGTATGGATTCGTTTCCTCCATCTTGCACATATACATTAACTGTCTGTAAAGGAAAGAATGTACATGGTTATTAAGACAAATCAGTGCTGAATTACCTCTGAATCTGTTTTTCTGGGTGATTTAAATGCAAACAGTATCTGAAATTCACCGTGCAATGATTATTGCACAGCAACACATATTTGCAATATGAGTATGGATTATTTGAGGGATTATTTGAAGGATCCTTTGCTATTATGTAGCCAACCAGCTATCACAAATTCCAGTTAATTCCTACCACTATGATAAAACATAAAAGATACAGAATAGATTTAGTCATGTATAATACGCTAATATTATTGAGTCTTGGGAGTTTATTAAAGAGGGACACTTAAGAACAAAGAACTTGGACCAATGACTGATAATCACAAACATAAAAATACAAACCCCATGTAATGCAGTGTCCAAACTTCTTGAGTTCTCAATAATCATTTGAACTGCACTTTGCTGAACTCCTAGAATATTATATGCCTTTCTTTATGCTGTTTTCACAGCTGTGGTTTTAAAGTTGAGGCTACTTCTGTACATCGGGTGATTTAACATGACTCAACTGATGAGGAGTGCATTGTTCAGCTCCCCTTACTTTACCTCCTGTGACCAATGTTCATTAAATATATGCACACACACACATATATATGTACATGTAAAAGCCATTTCTATCATCTTTAGTGTTTGAAAACTTCATTTACTGCTTACTATTATACTATTATTACTACAATAACTCTAATAGCTCCAAGAAAAAATACACCTAAGTAGCTTATGCTAGTTCTAAATATTACTGTTTTCTTATAGTATTGACATGTTTTTTTATGTTAAGGAGAATTTTTCGAAAGCCTGTAATTTGCTAAATCTAGAGTGATTTTTTTGAAAGTAGTTTTGCTATATAAGTGTCAGTTTCAATATAGACAAAAGCAAATAAGAAAACCATGGCCAGGAAACCTCCACAGAAGGAAAAAAACCCAACAAAACCAAATAGATGTTATGAAAATCCTCTTTCTTTCACTAGTTGAATCAGTACAACAATTCAGCACCGTCGTGAATCTTTCACCAGTCAGGAGCTTAGGAGGCCAGGCACATCCAAAGCACTGCAGCTCTCAGATACATATGGTCCTGCCAACCATAATGCCTGAATTTATCATATCAGACCTCAAAAATAAACTTGTGTAGCTGGTATTTTTAAACAGTAGAAAAGATACACCATACGGCAGTCAAATTAAACATGATTGCACTGTCCCTTGACAGAACTCTCAAACTAATCATGAGATTTCACCTTCCTTTTCCTATTAGCTTTACGGTAATTAGACATGATTTTGCTGCTGGTTCAGTATGCAGCATGTCAGTGTAACCAGTGATGCAAAGCAGATTCATCTTTTAAATAAGAACAATTAGAGAGCAGACAACTGCTCTGTGCCGTACTTTCCCACCTTGTCTCACTTTCAGGCAGAAGTGAAGGAATTAACTCATGCTTTAACCTACACTGGTACACAAATGCTCCCTAACTGTTCAGAGTTACCATATCATCATCATTGTGTCTACAATCCCAATAACTTATGGCAACAGTACCTCCCTTCTTAGTGTTTTGTCACAAATATATACACATATATCTCATCATCTTCCACACATGCACACACATAAAATATTTATTTGATGGGAAATCTGTAGGTCTGGACCAAACACTGCTACTGTACAACATTATAATGTTTAATATCTGGCTAATATGCTTGTTGTGCCCACATACGATTGCATACACAAATTTTCTCCTTTCACACTGATTCATTTAGCTTGGTTGCAGATATTGAGGTTTTTTCGTGGAAAGAAACAGACTGAATAAAGAATTACTGCCATTAAGTCTTACGTGATGGACTGTGCAAATAAATTCTTTTCTCACAATTTTTAACACAACAGAAATTATAGCCACCACTGCCAGTCAACGTGTTTTCTGTGGGTGTCAATTTCAGCTCAGATATAAAGATATAAACTCAAACAGATATAAACTCAACTAATTGCCAAAATATTAGTTAAACTTAAAATATTTCTTCTTGCCCACCACACTTTTCCTCCAGGCAGTCTAGGTCACAGTCTGGTGACTCTGTGAGTGAAAGTCCCACAGCAATCTCTTCACATCAACCCTCCCCTCAGTGTCCCTTTGGAATACATAAAATGGTGATTTTTTTTTTCAAACCATGATTTAATAAAGTTTTTTTTAAGTTTCTCTTTCCACACTGCATATATGTCTCAGTTGGAGACAACTACAAATGATTCCTAACATGTCAGTAAAGAAGAAATCAGAAAAGGAAAAAAAAATCCTGTGTTGGTCTCTGAAGGACAGCGTGTGCATCTTTGATATCTACGACACTGTATCCTGAAGAAAACCAGCAAGACTATCAGAAAGCGTAAAACTATGTTTTACCCTCCCTGAACAGCTAAAGAGTGTTTTTTTAAAAGGACAATGAATTTGTTTTCTGGAGTATGGTTGAAAAAGTGGTGGAAATTTCTGTCAGTGAACAAAATTAAGTCAAAGCAGAATTCATAATAGAAGAGAACTGGACCATGGCACTGATGATCAGATTCAGGAGGTGACTGAGCTCAAAAGGGGAGTTTCCTTGATAGGAATGTCCACTTATTCCACTTGGAGGATGTAACACGGGTCTCCAGAACTGCCTGTAGAGGCAGCTTCCCCTCAGCACTGTAGAGAATGATTTCCCTGAGTGGAAATAAACACCTTTCAATACCAGCTAGGCTGCCCATGTTCAGGAGAGTTTGACTCACATAGGAACAAATGCAGAAAGAAGTTCACATAGTATTCTGGAGATTGCAGAGCCATCTCACAGGATTGCAGAGGAGCTCATCATGATATAGTGATAGAATGATCTCTAAAATGATATTTGATATGCTGACCAGCAGTAATCACAAGGGAGAAAGACAACCTGAATTTCAAGCATAATGGTAGTGCAAGAATTCTGCAAAAATCAATTACCAGTGAATTTAGATGTGAAAAAGGGAGGAGACAAACACCCTGACCACTGTTCAGACTGACTGAAAATTATGAAAGGGATTTATTGAAATGGATCCACAGTGGTAGGATTTGGATTTTATCTTAGAAGATACTTTATAATTGTGTTTTCCTGCTTGGATTCTTGTTTTGGTCAAACTATTGACAGTCCTACCCATGATAAGATTTTCTATGCAGTTCACAGTAGTCTAAAAAACTATGTACAGACTTAACATTACAGGAATTAATTTTAAAATAAAAAAAGATTAATCATGCTTTGCTTACCAACTGTGTATACTCTACATCATCTCCCAGTAAGCCTGTGTCATTCAATGTATACTTGGCTTTCTTTAGTACAGCATCCACTGGACCTTTTTCTACCTGGTGTTTGATAGCCTTGAACAATTTATAAAGAGGCTCCCCAGCATTGTCCTGTTTAAAGGAAAGGACATGAAATAAAGCAAACCCAAAAGATATACTCAATGCAGCATGTTTAAGTATTACTGATTAAAAAAACAAAAACTCACAGGCAATAGACTTTTACTCTTACCTTGAGGTACTGATATAAACAAATAGACATCCAGTTAGACAACATTCTCTCAACAACCGTTTCAGATCTGAAAAAAAAAACCCAACCAATTCTGAGTATGGTGAGGGTACATTGCTTGCTTGAAATACAATATTTTTACATGGTTAACTGCATGCACTCTCCTAATGTAATGATTTCCCTATAGAGCCTTGAAAGCATATACTTGCTCTAGGATAAGTGCTTTGTATTGCTCATCATTCCCAGGTACCTTCAGCTCATTGCTGAAAATCACACATCCTTTATGCAAAACCTTAAACTGCATCTATGCTGTAAGAGCTAAAAAATTAACCCAGTTGTGCAGTTACCGGGAAATAACCCACAGATTACAAAGCTACAAAATAAACACAGCAAGGTCTATTGCAATTTATTTGGGATAAAAACTGGGTTAAACCACAACAGCAAGCCCTCACTGAATTCACAATGCAAGTTGATTATGTGTGCTCATTACAGACATGATGCCTGATATAAACGCTAGATCATTTGGAATAAGGTTAGATTAAAAAGTAAATTAAATGTTCAATATGATATTTTGAAGTAAGGTAGGTATTTCTACACTACAGTATTTGAATAAGGAAATCTGTGGCCAGTAGTCCTGCCTGTGCCTTGCACAGCTGCTCCTGTGGTTTTGTCTTCATAATATGCTTGGGCCAAGCTATTTCTGACTTTCATGGATAGCTGGCATTTTAATACGGTCACATTGCAAAAGAAACACATTTATGGAAAACCAGAGACCTACAGAAAATATGACAATCATTCAAACCTTCTTAGCATCAGCTTTGGATTTTTGGCCACCACATACTGCTCCATCAGTTCTAAGAACAGCGTCCTCATGAT